GGCTGGCCATGACCACATGGAGAGAGGGGGAAGAAAGGGGGGAGGGGAGCGGGCAACCTGTAGGTGTGGGGTCGAGAGGAGCAAGAGAGAGAGGAGGGGGCAGGCAGCCCCTTTTATAGTGGGCAGGCCTACCTGCCTGTTGCCAGGTAACTGTGGGGAGAAGCATACCTGGCTGCTGCCAGGTAACTGTGGAGGTGGAGTTTAACAGAATACTAACACCCTCCCCCCACATTCCACTTTGCCCACAGCTGGTGGGCAAAAGTCCACCTCTCAGCCTCTCAGCCTAATGTGGCTGCCAACAGGGGCTAACACTTCACCGTCCACCTAGAGGAAGGGACAGCCCTGTGCAAGCAGCTGGTGGATTCTCTCTGAAACACCCAACAGCCCACCCACACTCCAGCAACACTGTAACCTCAGGCTGTCAGTCAGAGGCTCCACCAGAAGACACGAGCGGCTGTTAAGACGGCACCCTTCTTCCTCCCACTCAGCCTAGCATCCTGAGGTTCTGGAGACATTTCCTGCAGCCCAATGACCTGCTGTACCTTCAGGGTACACACGGTTATATAGGATGGGCTGTATCCCCATGGCCCCAGCTGCTGGGTGCCACAAGGGAACACTGGGTACCCGGTACCTAACTTTACCCTTATCTCACAGCCTGTATTTCTAGAATGTGCCCTGTTCCCTTTAGGTAAACACGAGGTAACAGGAGAGATCAGAGGGTAAATGACATGCTAGTGTCCAGTATAGGCCTGCTGGCAGTCAGCAGGGGTAACCATGAATGGCAGTGATGTCACTGTGACTCTTTCCAACCCACTGTCTGTTCTTTTCCTGGGGTGGCTGGTGCCGGGAAGGAGTCAGGGATGGTTTATTGATAGGAACCTTTCTGCTCTGGGTACTTGTGTGTCTCTAATTCCTGCCCACCTACAGCCCTCTGGAGCCCCTGGGCCCACAGAAGCCCTGCTTAACTCCTCTCAGAGGCAGCAGGTGGAGGAGGGGCTGAGGACCAGCTGCTGCTGTGCCTCCTCCCTGGCTGGCTGGACTGGCCGTACCAGACACCAGCCACTGCTCGTCCCTCCCCTTGTGAGCCTCTCTGGAGAGCAGCTCCAGGCCTTATCTGTAGGGCCGGGGAGGAAGACGGTTATCAGGTCGTTGGCAGCTACACTTACCCGGTCTCTGAGGGCTGCACTGGCTGTCTCCCCTGATAAATGTCCTACGAGGGAGGAGAGCCCCTCAGCCCAAGTTAAGAGGCCCCAGTTAGAAATGCAGTGGCTTACATTCCTGAGGGTCAGGGCTGGAATTCCTCCCTTATCTGGTTCTGATGTGACCCTGAGCCAGTTTCTGATTATCATCCCCTCCTCCCAGGCAGACCCTCCCCTAGAAGCTTCTGTGAGTCTGCTCTGATACCTGACTTATCTCCACTCTGAATGCGGTAGCTGCAACCCAGGCCTACAGCATGCAGTCCCAGGAGAGTGGTGTCCACTACAGCAGGTGGGACAGCAGCAGCCGGGATGAAGTCAGCATGACTGCCATGTCCAGCTCAGAGGAGGCCTCATGCTATAGGAGGTACAGTCTCATTGGACCAGTGGCCCCCGCTGTTCTGACCAGCTTTGCCCAAGCCCAACGCTTGTGCCAGCCCACCCAGGTGCCCATGGCGCTGGGCATTACCTTTGAGCAGACAGGTAACTCCCACCTCTAGCAGAGCACTCAGTCCTACTTCTGCCTGAGCCTTTTCCTGACCTAGCCTGCCGCTTCCCCACCCAAGTCAACTCAGGAACCTCCCAGTATCGGGCTCACTGGCTGTTCTCATTCTAGGATCTCCCAGAAGCTGTGCTCTGGCAAGCTGGGGATAGCCATGAAGGTGCTGGGTGGAGTGGCCCTCTTCTGGATCGTCTTCATCTTGGGCTATGTCACTGGCTACTACGTGCACAAGTGCAAATAAATGCTGCCCCACTCCCACCCCTGGGAATCCCCTCCCATGTACACAGACCATTTGTGCAGACACTCCTCCATACAGACCCCACGGCTTGTGAAGATGCCAGTGTGTACTGTCAACAGGGCTCCCCATCTCCAGCACACAGGGTGGTCTCAAGACTAAAAACCCTAGCCCAGGCAGCCTCCAGAGGCACACAGGCTGGAGACTAGGCTCAGCTCCAGCAGAGCAACAGGGAACCTCCCCAGGCTGGGCTCTGCGCCCAGGGCGACCAGATTCCTTTGGCCAATGCTAGATCTTCCCCAGCCTAGGGCTTAGGCCCATCCATAGCTGAGGTTGGGTTGAGGGGTGTTTTGTGCAGAGGGGTGTTTGGTAGCCCTCAGGAGTAAGCTTCTCCCTGTGGGCAGGGCTCCTGGTCCTTTAGGCCTTCCAGATTGCTGGTTGTGCAGGGTGGGCCCTGAATAATGACTGTGGCTCCTATTTTTTCCAGGGGACACAGGGCCTCAGGCAAGACCTTTCTGTGCAGGGAACAGAGAGGTCTTCTCATCTCAAACACAACACTGCATTCTTTAGCAAACAGGACATGGGCTCCACAGCTTACCACCTCAGGAATGGCCCTGAGAGAAGCTGGGTGCCTTACGGGCTGCCTCCCCATCTTGCAGTGGCTGAACCAGCCCCCACTCCTTAAGAAGACTGTAGACAAATCACTGCTGGACGAACAGCGGTGACTGACTGTCTCCACTGGTGTTGCCCAGCCAGGCATGACTTGTTCCAGGCCTGACCCTCCTCCACAGCTCCTCCTGTTTGGCTCTGTCTTGGAATGTGCCTCTCCTGACTGGGCCCTTTCCCAAGAACACAGAGACCCAAGGGTCAGGATGTGGCTGGACCTGTTCCCTCCTTACTGGACCATGTGAGGCCTTAAGGGTACTGTGGCTCAATGGGGACTCTGGTCCCCTCTCCAGTGGCCTATGTAGAACTTCCCTGGACCACACCTTGTTCCTAGTATGCTGTGAAATGGTCCCAGGCTTGCAGGCTGTGATAGAGAAGTCCAAGGTCTGCACCCTGACCTGACAGGGTGGAGGGCACAGGGGCTGCTGCTATCAGTTGCCAGAGAAGGGAGGCTAGAAAGCCCTCCTGCCCTTACCACACTGATGTGTTTAGGGGCTTGGCAATCTGGACAGGGAGGCTGGTATGGCTGTCCTTCTCACCCTAAGGGTACCGGTTTGGACTATCTAAATGTCAGTGGTCCTGTGTGGGAGTTTGCAGTGGAGCTGCTCCAGCTGGCCTGGACTTTTGTAGTACAAGTGTAACTGACAACTCTGGCCCCACTCATGGGCTCCAAATGAGGTAAGACAGTGGCGTGTCCTCTACCACCCCAGCCCTGAGCCACTGCAAGGCAGGCGTTGGGAGGAGGTACCAGCCAAGGACTCCTTAAGGCCTAGTGGAGCCCTTGTCAAGAGGTAGTCTTCAGAGCAGGTGTGTGGTGGGCAGGACAAGGCAGACACAGCTGAGCCAGGGACCCGGGGTGCAGTAGGGAGGTGAGACAGGGAGGAGTATAAATGCAGGGCACCACGTGAGAGGAAAGGGAGCGCTCTGAGTCCTCAGGCTTCTCTCATAGTCCTGAACTCCTGGGCTGACAGTGGGAGGTGGGCATCTAGCCACACTGTGCACTCGAAACTGAGTCAGGTGCTCCCAGCCCACTCCTGGCAGCTGTCTGGTAATCTTTAGGGAGCTGCTCAGTGACCCCAAAGTCATGGACACTCTGGTGGGGGGTTGGGCTGCTTTCCCACGTAGAATGTCTGCTACATGAGAGGACTGGTGAACTGCAACCCTGTCCTGGAGACGCACATACTAAGGCTGCTGATGCAGAGATGTTACCAAGGGTTTTTATTAGTTTTATTAGAACAAAGGCATTCTGCTTGAATCTGTAAAAACAGCTCCAAAATTCTCAATGAATCTCACACCTGGATTGTGCTGGAGGGAACAGCAGGAACTGGGGGAGACAGGATGAGCCCTGGGCAGCTCCACCCTAGACACTTAGTAGGTGAGTTCTTGCAGCAGCCAAAGGGACCTGTGAGCAGGTGTGTCTCATGGAGAACACCCACCAGCTTTGTCCAGGGTCTGCCATGAGGGACCTGGAGCTTCACTAGTTCTGACAGCTAAAGAGTCTCGTACAGCCTTAGAACAAAACCTGTGAACAACCCCAAACAGCTGTTCTTTTACAGAAGGTAGAGATTGTCCTTTGAGGTCAGAGACCGGCAATGAGAAGGTGTCAAGTGGGAAGGCTGAGGCTCTGGTTCTCCTCAGCCAGATGGTAAGGCACGGGGCCACCGAGTCCTTTCTGCAGCTGGCTGGGTCCTTAGGAATAAGCACTCTGGCTTCAGGGACGGCAGCTGTGTGCTGCGTACAGACGCTAACACATGCACAGAGACACAGGATGCACACACAGCAGGACTATGTGTGCGGCATGGCTGCCTGGGCTACTGTCTGATAGTCCACAGAGCAGCCTTCCCACTCACTCACAGGGTCTGTGTGACTACACAGGACTACATGGGCACGGGTGACTTCCGTGGCCAAGGCGCAGACGCTGCCCTGGGAACACGGCAGAAGCACTGTGTGGAAACAAGACTACACTCACATCATGATGGTCTCATCTGTCTTTGCACAGCTGATGTTAATAAAAATGCTATTAACATGTTGTAGAAAAATAAATACCGTTCAATAGAATGCCTGCCATTCAACCTGAACTGACATGTCACGGTCAGCCAAGCTTGGTGTCTCTCCTAAGTTACTGGCCACATGACTCAGAACATTTCCAGCAGTGATGTGGGTAATCCATGAGGACAGCAGACAGGAGTCACACTGGAGCTATAATGATGGCACAGACTCAATGTCACAACGGTCACCTGGGCAAAAGCAGACACCTTACGACACCCGGAGAAATGGAGCAGAGAACAACCAGTTACACAGACAGCTACAGCACACCTACAGGAGCCACAGAGGGCAGTGACGCAGCCCCACCTGTCAGCGAACCACAGTCACACTGGGAGGGAGAGTGACCAGGTCGGCTTTGGATGGGTACACCACCTTCAAGCTCCCTTCAAGGTCCACCACTCGGACCTGTTCCACCACCAGGGGGCGCTGTCCATCCTTTCCAGAGCTCAGATTGGAGTTGGGATCAGAAAGCCCACAGCTGGCATCGGCTTCTGTACCCGAGAGCACGTCTTCCTCTTTATTTTCTGAAGCACTGTTGCTCAGTTCTGCCATTCTCTGCAAACGAAAGTAACCTTTTTAACAGAGAGAAGTAGTCCAGGAAGTCGGGCTGTGGTAACCACAGAGCAAGCAGAGCAGCTATGGAAAGGGTGGGCCGTCGAGCTGCTCCACAGCCGGGGTCTAGGGCTGGGCCCCTCACTCACCAGGATAAGGTTGTCCATGATGTCCTTACAGAGCTGCAGGCTAGTGGCACTCGTTACTTCCAAGAACAAGTTGCAAGTTGTTTTCTTAATCTTAAGAATTGGATTTGAGAAAAGACTAGTTATTGGTGTTGGGCCTCCAGCCGCTTAATGAATTCAGAACAATCTGAGAGCAGGGCTACAGAAGGCCGGAGGTGCAGCCGGCCTGCCCTGGATTAAACCCCTGCGCTGCATACACCAGGCATGGTGGTGCAGCCTGCTAGCCTAGCTTTACGGAAGTGGAGACACAAGGGTCAGAAGCTTGTGGTAATGATAGGCCAGCCCAAGCTGGATGAAAATCTGTCTCAACACCCAGAACACGTCGCAAAGGGTCGCAGCCCTCCTCTCTGCCCTTCTATCCTAAGCAGGCTACTGGGTGGTGGGCAGCTTAGAGGACGTGAGTGCACCCCAGACTCCGCCTGCCTACCTTTGTCTTCTCACTGTTTGTTATAGGAGGGAAAGAGATGACATCTCCCTCAGCGTCCACCAGACAGGGGTAGTTCTCCTTCCCGTCCAGGAGGTGAAGGTACCTGTGTGGGAGGGGCCCAGGCAGGCGAGAGCCAGCGGGTAAGAGCAGAGGCAAAAACTGCAGACAACCAGCTGCAGCATCCAGTGTGCAGCCATGTGACACCAGAGCTGCCTGGAGGTGAGGCTGGACAGAGGCCTTAGGTCTGACAACACCAACCCTACACGGAGAGCCTGACGGCTGCCAGGAGCCAATCACCCCTCGCCCTGGAACAGGACGCTGGCCCCCACCCCCACGCCAATGGAGCCTGGCTCTTTCAGGTTGGGGAGTCAGTCTCAGAAGAAGACTGGGGAGATCCCCTCCCCATTTGGTTGTTTTCGAGCTTCTGGCAGCTGTAGGGGCTGGCTGGGGTACAGCTGACATGGTGGCTGCATGCTGACCTGTGCAGCCCTGAGACGCTCTGCCTCTTCTTCTGCTTTCTTTGTTCCTCGGCCTCCAGCTGCAGCTGCCGCACCAGCTCCTTGGCCTTGGCCTCTCTCCGCCCCAAGGGCACAATCTGCAGGGGCAGAACCCAGAGATCCTGCTGCTGAGGCCACCCTGAGCATGAGGGACGCTGTGCACCTCTCTACCTGAATCTTGAGCTGGGAGCAAGAGCCTGAGGCCCCTCACTAGTGACGCACTGGCTGAGACTCCTCTGAGATGAGACGTACAACACTCACAGTGCCTGGCTGAGCTTCACTGTGAGCCTAGCTCAACACCAACTGTTCCTAAGAACCTGCAACTGCCGAGACGGCTGACAGAGAGATGGGATTTAGCTGCATGAGCCAAGTGATTCAAGCATGCAGCTGACACCTGAGTCCCTTCACCCTGGGTCTCTATGCCAAACCTAAGCCTGTAAGCCAACAGCCTGGAGCAGCCCCTTCCTGAGTCAACTTACACTACAGGTGTTCTGTAAGTGGGACAGAAAACAAACTCATGGGTTAAAAGTTGGTGAGCTGGCTAGGCATGGTGGCACATGCCCTTAATCCCAGCACTTGGGAGTGGGGGGCAGAACAGAGATCTCCGAGTTCAAGTCCAGTACAGACAGGACTACAGAGTGAAGCCTCATCTAATAGAAGTTGTGGAGTAAGGGAAGCACCTTACACACCCGTCCCGGACAACGGCCATTTGCACAGATGTGCACCCGGCCCCCGAAGGCAGAAATCATATCCCTCATGCACTTGCCTGCAAAATACCAGGTTAAGCTTCCCAGTCCCCCCCCCCCCCATAAGTCTGCTAAAGCAAAGTGCAAGTGTAGACACAAGAGGCAGATCAGGTGGCACCTTGAGGTCCTCGGGCGGCCGGGCTGCATACAGCAGGGGCCCACGCACAGCCTGGAGGTCATGGGTCGCGATGGTCGCTGCTGTCCTCTTCTCACAGAGGTCCTCATGGAGCTTTGTCTACAGGAGAGCACAGGGGGGGGGGGGGGGGCGGCTTCGCCTTCATGGAAGCCATGGGCTAGAGCCTGCAAGCTCATCACAGCAAAGTGGCAGCGCTGCCCAACACCTGTCTCCCAACCATGTACTTTTTGGGTCAGCAGCAGCAGCCTTTTCCTTCTCTTTAGTTCTAGAACATGGCACTTAAATTTTAAAGAACTTTCAACCTATTACTTCATCTACAAGCCAGACTGCAGGTCTGTAGCTAAGCTGGGCATCGCCGGGGGAGGGAAGGGCACCACTGGCTTCCTCCCTGAGCTGCTGAGGGAGGTCTCACTCAGCAACTCTGCTCTTGCTGGCACAGGCTGTACCTGTCTCTGCTAGGCACAAATGCAAAAATGTGCTTCTCACTGCTCACAGGAGGCAGATGCCGGAGAGCTCCCCGACTGTGCGGCGGACACGAGGTGACTCTGCTCGTCACCATCGTCCTTCCTTCCGTTTTCTTTTGTTGGTGTTTTGGTTTTTCAAGACAGGGTTTCTGTGTTCTGTAACTACCACTGTAGACCAGGCTGGCCTTGAATTGAGAGAGATCCTCCTGCCCCTGCCTCCCAAGTGCTGGGATTAAAGGTGTGCACCACCATTACCTGGCTACTATTATTTTGGAGATAGACTCTCTCTATGTAGCCTCGGCTGGCCTAGAATTTGCTATGTAGACTAGGCTGGCCTCAAACTCCCACAGATCTGTCTGTCTCTGCTAGACTAAAGGTGTGTACTTCCATGCTTGGAAAAAGGAGACAATTTTAACACAGTCTGCAGAAATTAGCAATGTTCCCTAATATCAAACATCATCAATAAATTTATGTCCTAACTATGGCAACATGTGAAAGTGTGTGGAGGAACCATGGCCCAGCAGACACTTGACAAGGGTGTGCCCTGGGTACCAAGTGTCTACTGGCAGTGGACCTTCTTCACTCTGAACTAGGGAAACTGAGGTATAGAAACCACCTTTGCCTCCTGTCCCTGACTTGACTGCTGGCCCCAATGGTATATCCAGCATGCAGACTCCCCACCAATCAGCCTGCTGTGTGCATGCCCACCCCAGCATGCAGTGCCACCAAATCAGAAGTCTGTCTGCCATGTATCCTCCTCGAGCATGCAACCTACCACGTCTCCTGCTGAGTGCCCACCTGGGAGTTGAGAAAGCGACGGAGTGCGTTTCCTGGCTGCAGGTCCATGCCTCTCACAACGGCCCCCACGATGTATGGGCGCACGTCCCTGACTTCCGGGCTCACCCTGACTGTCAGGGGTGTGGGGTTCTCAGAGACATGCAAGACCTTGAGCATCAGCCTGGCTGAGTCTGCTACCTCCTCCTCGCCCTCCCCGCTTTCCCGGCGCTGCTTTCGCTCCCGCCTCTTCTTTCTGTCCTCCTTCTCAGAGCCCTCTTGCCGGCCCTTGCTCCGACCGCCGCGGCCACCAGCACGCAGGTACTCTAGGATGGACTTGGTCTGGCAGCCACCCACCATCTTCTCCAGGCGCTTGTCTCGAAGCTTGTTCCCTCGAAAGTTGATCTCTTTGAGCTTGGGGCAGTCTGCCAGTTCAGCAGGGATCTCTGTCAGCTGGTTGTTGGAGAGGTCCAGTGTCTGCAGTGAGAAGGAGAGTCAAGACAGCCAGGCCTGGGTAGGTGGACAACATGTTTACAGGCAGGCTAATCCATGGGTTACTCGCATGGCCATAGTTGCCCGCTGCTCTGCCCCTCCCCCTCCTTGGTTCACAGAGGCTAGCCAATTCAACATGTCAGGCCTGTAATTACAGTACTAAACACTCAGACCTGTCAGAAGGCTAGAGAACAAACCAGGAGCCCTTCCAATTTCAAACAGGCTCCCCAAATGGTGCCCAGCTCTCTTCAATGTGAAGTGAATGGTGCCAGTGAGTCTAATGAGCTTTCTTATAGACCACGAGGAAGGTTCCTTACAGGAGCGTGAGTGACCTCAAAGCAGCTATACTGCTGCAAAGTCTCAACACAGCATGGAGGATGGCTTCCCCAGAGCAGGCTAGATGGAGTGTCTGCACACACCTCCCCAGATCACAAGGTGTCATGTAACTGGGGCAGAGTTACAGACACGTGTCTAGGAGGGACTGAGGTCTGTTCCAATGATCCTCCTACGAGTGACATCAACAGTCAACAGGCCTGATCATGGCACTCTCACAAGCGATCACCACTGCTCAACTGCTCTGATAGGATGACAGCTGTTGTCTAGAGGATTGTGTTTTACAAACAGGAAACAGAGAGGCATCCGTTCATGCTTCTTTGTCTTTCTCAGGGCTAGTGGGGACTCTGGTCTGCCTTATTTTTTATTCTTACATCGAGCACTGTTCTGGAGCCAGGGAAAGGACTAAAGTGACCACAGGTGACACATCACCTCTGTACTCAGACGTAAGACTGTGGCAATTGAGTCCTAAGAACATGGGTGTGGAAACAGTAGGATGACTGCATAGGCCTGACTGTTACAGACACACATCCACTCTGGATGGGGAAGCTGCTCGGCCTCTATCTCTGAAGCAAGAGAGAAGGAATCTGGCTCAAGCCATCAGGCTGCTCGGTGTGGAGAAGACACAGGACAGAGGGACTCTGGACATACCACCGAGGTGCAGCAGGAACTCAGGAGGCAGAAGACAGCTATAAAAGCTAAAGGAGAAAAGCATGAAAAAGAGGGACACGGCCCTTGAGGGGGAAGAGACCAGACAGCAGCGAGGCTGCTAGGTGAATTCAAGGCAGGCGACCCTGCAAGGGGGTCACCAGGAGCAAGCTCATGAAGTGTCTCAGTGTGCGAGCGACCTGCCATATAAAGTTGGGCTGGCGTTTTCCATGGTGCAGTCATCAGCCTCAGATGAGTCTGGGTCTCAAATCTGTATCCTGTGACCCTAACACCAGCTCTTCAGAGATCCACTCCCAATGGAGGCAGAGCCTACCTCTCAGGACCTAGCTGGTCCCCCAGTAACTACTCTGAGAACCACTGTGACACTATTGGGAACCAAGTAATGGGGGTTCTGAGCCAGACTACCAGAGCCTATACCTTCTCCCAACCCTCTGAGGTCACCAGCCCAGAGGGACTGGCTCACTGGGAGCATGACAGACAGCACAGGCCTTATGTGACAGTCAGTTTGCCAACAGCCTGTCTGAAGCCCTGTGGATACGGAGCTTCTGAACTCCCTGGAAGTTCATGACGTGTTTCTGCTCCTACTGTTAAAATGCAGTTTACTGAAGACCCGGGAGAGGAATAGGCAGAGTAGAGGGACGGTGGTGGGGGCTGAGTGTTCAGCACAGCCTCAGAATAGCCATTAGGGAGAGGCATCTTCTAGGGACACCACCTAACAAGGTCTGGTCAGAGCAGGAAACAACAGTGCGAAAGCCAGGTGAACATCTACCTGGGGCCCTGTGAGGACAGCGGCAAAGGTGAATAGTCAGTCAGAGAGGTAGATGGGTCTTGCCACACAGAGCCACAGGGTGAAGCATCCTCGTGAACTTTCTCACATGCCTGCTCATGTTTAGCCAGCTCTAGGTGCTTAGAGTGGCAACCTTGTCATGGGAGTGAGGTCAGGGTTCCAAGATGTGACAGGCAAGCACAGACATGAAGCCTTTGGGGCACTCCTGTGTGGGAGGCAACAACCACAAAAGCTGTGAGACAGGGCAGATGTGCTGGCCTCCCAGTGCCCACGGGAAGCTGTGAATGGTTGTGCTTGCAGCATCTGGACGCTTTGCAGATGTGCTCAACATCTTACATCAGAACTTCCAGAGGAACACGAACCCTAACCAGTTCAGTGACAACCAGGGCAGCCTCTGCTGGGAAAGGCAGCACAACACAGCAGTGGGGGCCATGTGAGGCACATGCAAGGGACCACTTCGGTCTCAGAGACCACAGCATGTCAATGGCTGAGAACAACCACCCGCCTTCTGGAAAACCTAAATATCTACTACATAGGAAGGCAGAACAGTGTACAGCCTGTGTCCTATCTAAGCCGCTGGGATGCCTGTGACATAGAGGGCCAAGGTACCTTAGGGAGTCTCATCCCACAGCCTCCTCCAGGAGATAACAGAAAACAGGTATCATCTTGTAGACTCGCTGGCCCATCTCTCCACCCCACACCCCTACCCCGGAGGGGAGGAAGGAATGAGGGAGGAAGGGAAGGAGGGAAGGAGGGAGGGAGAGAGGGAGGAAGGCAAAGAGGGAAGGAGGGAGGGAGGGAGGAGGAGAGGGGGAGAGCCGCCGGGGGCGCCGGCGCGCGGGGCGGGGGGAGGTTAATTACACGCGCGCGCGCGCACACACACACACACAGGCATCAAAGTGAGCTCTGATCTCTCAAGAGCAAATTTCCTTGCCAATCCATCATTAGGAAAGGGCTGCATAAACTCAAGGGCGAGAAGACACACACACTCGATCTGCCAAGAATGCAGGCGGTAGGGGATGTGGTACAGGATTGACAGTCCAGATGGACAGGACTGGACTGTGGAGATCCTTGACTGGAGTCAGGTCTGGCTGTGGTTTTGCATCTTCTACTTTCCCATCCCTCCCTTAACAATGAGCACCTGGTGGGCCGGCGTCAGGTGCAACAGGAGCCTGGGACCACAAAGAAGCCAATCTCTTACACATGGCCGACCCGAAGAAAACTCTAGGTGTGCTGTTGGCTTTGGGTAAGCACTTCGGCCTTCTGTGAAACCGAAGCTACGACCCCGCCCTCTGAACCTCTGAAGGCTGTTGTTACCAGTGAATAATACGCCGATTCCAGTTCTCTCGTGTTTTTGTGCCTTGTCTGGATGCCCCGCCATTTGGAAACCCGATCAGTTACACACACACACACACACACACATTCACCTGACTCTCTGCTCTTGGATTTCTTCCCACATAAGAAGCCTGAGATTGGTAACAACTTTCAAACTGCCACACGTCCTGAGAAGGACTGGCTGCGGAGGCAAAGACATCTTCCAAGGAGGGCTTGCAGGGCGCGTCCCCATCCTCTCGGGTCCCACTAACCTTGAGCGAAGCAAGGTGCGCGATGTCCGGGCTGAGTTCCCGCAGGCAGTTGTCGGCAGCTGCCAGCTCACTGAGCAGGGGCAGAGCTCCTGGCCGGAAGAGCTCGGCGGGGAAGGCGTCCAGGCAGTTGCCGGTGAGGTTGAGGCTTTGTAGGCGAGGGGCGCAGCGCGCCAGGTCAGCGGGCAGCTCGCGCAGGCGGTTGCCGCTGAGGTTGAGGCTCTGCAGCTGCGGCAGACCAGGGGGCTCGGCTGGACCCAGGCCCTCGCCCGGCGGCAGCGTCTCCAGCGCGTTGCCCGAGAGGTCAAGCACGCGCAGCGCGGGCAGCGGCCCCAGCTCCGGGCTCAGGCCGGGACCCAGCGCGTTGCGCCGCAGCACCAGGCTGTGCAGCTGCGGCAGGCCCTGCGCAAGGCCCGGCCCCGGTGCGCGCAGGCTGCCGCAGCCGCTCACCTCGAGGTAGTGCAGCAGCGGCAGCGTGAAGAGCCGCGGCGGCAGCCGTCCGCCCGCCGCCTTCACTCGCTCCTCCAGCCCGGGCCCGGTCAGCAGCAGCTCGCGACGCCGCTCGCGCTCCGCCAGATCCAACTCCGGCCAGCCCTCGGACACGGCCATCGCCGCCGCCGCCATCGCACGGCTCGTGCGCCGCTTCCGGAGTGCGGTGCCGCACTTCCGATGGGCGCCGGAAATGACCACTGAGAGCACACTCGCTTGCCAGAGAGTCTTGACGCAGGGGTTTGTGGGATGGATGGGGGGGGGCGCGGCTCTGTTTTAAGCCTCAAAGCCTTACACGGGCTGTGTGGTGTGGATGTGGGGAGTCCTAGGAATCCAATAGGCTGGGTGGTAGCCTTTCTCATCACCCAGATACCAGCTAAGGACACAGTTATTCTGGGGATGTAGCTTAGTAGAGCGTTTGTCTGGCATGCATGAAGCTCTCAGTTTGATTCCCAGCACTGCGTAAATGGTGGCATGGTGGTGCACACACCTGCCATCCCAGGCACTCAACTGGTTAAGGATGCCGGATAAGGAAGTTCAGCGTCAATTCGACATTATAGCAAGTTTGAGACCAGCCTGGGCGACATGAGACCATATTTCAAAAATAATAGAGACAGACAACCAGAAAGATTTAGTTAAAATGGCATACTGGAAGGAGAAAAAGAGATAAAGGGCTCCAGACACCTCCCCACCCCCCATCTCCCCCAGTTTGTCTTCAAGGCATTGACATGAGCCTTGGGACAGGCAACAAGAGGTAGTCCAGTTGGTAGAAACTTCTCAGCCCAAGGCTCAAACCCCACCCAGTACTGGGGGTACTGAAGTTGTTTCATCTGCGGTCTTCCTTAGAAGATAGTTTCCATGGGTACTAACTAATGCTCCAGGGTGAGGCCTAGTGGTCAGAAATAATGGGCCAGGACAAACTCACTGCATTGCAACTGGGATGCACTTGGTTTATCATAAGATAGGATGGAAGGCAGGGTGACTGGGGGTGGGAGACAGTCATGGTGTTTATGACTCAGGATGGCTGCAGTTATGTCAAGTGGAACCCATGCAAAGAGGAAGGCCCTACACACCATCAAGGGTCTTCAAAAGAAAGGTGAACAGTGACAGATTCAGTCTGGAGTTGCCACAGAGACAGCCCTCGGATTTGGAAAAGGCAAGCAGATGGCTTCTCCACCAGAAAGTAATGGGCCTCATGCATGTCACAGCCCGGGAAGACCTGTATCAGACCTCAGCACAAGAGGACTGTAAGGTGAAGCTTTTGTGCTGCAGGAAGCCAACAGGGTTGTGCTAACGTGCTAAAGCAGCATTTGGAAGTACTGTTGTATATTCAGAAGCAATTAAACTATCTCCATCTTGGGTTTTAGACTGGGCTGAGGGTGCGGTGTTTGTTCTTTTACTAATTGTTCCTTCACTAAGTGTAAGAGTCCTCTGGAAGACACGTCTTTGTTGACTGTATCTTGGAAGTCTCCCCCCACCCCTTTTTGGTCAGAACCCTCTATCTGATCTTTAGTCAGAGTGCTTCCAGTACTTGTGACTTAAGAGGTCACAAGGGGTTGTGACTTCATTCTTTGGGATGAATCCTCTGTTCTGTACATAGCTTAGCATCTTTCAGCATCTTGGTAGTGAACAGCTTATTCTGACAGAACTGTGAAGTGCGGCCCTTGTCCAGCAGCTAGAGAAAACCCAGGACTCTGTGAAGTTATCTTTCTGAGTGAATTCTCTGTTCTGCACGTAGACAGCAAGCTCATCTTAAACACTGTTTTAGAGACCTGGCTCTCCCAAGCCTGTCTCCTCAGCAAATGGAAGGACAGAGCTACTGTTACTACCAACTTCAGAGTGATTTACAACATCCCCCTCCCCTCCTTCTTTCCAGGTAGGGCTGCATGTAGCCCAGGCTAGCCTATAATTCACTTGTAGCCAAGGGATGCCTTGGACCTTAAGATGCCTGCTTCTGATCTGAAAGTGCTGGGAGATAACCACTCTTAGGGTTTTGTTCACATTAGGCAGGCACGCTACCAGTTGAGCCCCATCTCCAGCCCTACAATTGCTTGCTCCTTAATTACAACCGTGAGCTGCCCAGAGTGGTGCTTGACTTTAATTCCAGCCCTGGGAGGCAGAGGTGGGTGGGTTTCTGAATTCAAGGTCAGTCTGGTCTACACCATGAGCTCCAGTGCTGTACAGTTAGATCTGACTCAAAAACAAAACAGTGCTGGAGAGCTTGGTGGTTAAGAGCATCTGGTACTCTTGTAGTGGACCCAGGTTCAACTTTCACTACTTACATGGTGCCTCCTAACCACCTGTAATTCCAGTTCCAAAGGATTTGGGGCCCTCTTCTGACCTCCAGGGGCATGAGGCATATGCATGGTGCAAAGCACACATATACGGAATATAATAAAAAGCAAATATGTATGTAAAAATTGTGGTGACAACTCTGAAATTTTGGTTTCTTAAAAAAAAAAACACAGAAATACTATTAAGAATATGGTTTTGTTCCAGTCCCAGGTGTGGGATATGGGGCCGCTTCAGACTGTCTGCAGCAGCTGACTAACATTTGCCTTGTGCTGTAGCAGAGGTGTGGTTTTGCCAGCTGCAGATAGTTTCTGCGATTGTGTGACATTTGAAATTCTGGGACCTTCTCAGAGGGTGTAGAAATGCTAGGGCCTGGAGAGAACGGGTGAGTGGTTGGTGGTCATTCAGGGGGGTTGGCTGCAGTTTGTTAGTAGTTGTGCTCAAAGAAGAAACAAGAAGAAACTAGATTCAGGGCTCTCTCTCTGTCTCTGTCTCTCAAATACACCCTTCTATCCTTCTCTCACTCCTATCTAGTGACAGGGAACGAGACTGGGGGAAATAACGGTGGGAAGAAAAACCCACAACGTAGCAAAGCTGGCTAAAGAAGTGTAATAAAAGTGACGAGATGCTGAATGATCTTTACTGTATTACTATACTCAAGGCAAATTAGCACATAAACCCTCAAACAGCAACAATAAAAATATAGTATTCTATACCTGAAATAAAGACAAATAGAAAACTATGTTAAAACATTAAAAAGTTGCAAATTTTCATTAAAGGTATTTACATTTGTATTCTAGTATCAGATATGACACAATTCTTTTAAATTAGATAGAATCTTTTATGAAAATAATATAAATAAATATTAAATATCCACAATGTAGCATACGTGAAGATTTGAGGAGTGTTCCACTTAGGTATTAGGAATGGCTGGGGGTACGCAGCTCCTTCCCTGAATCAAGCACAGTGATGTGGAGCTTTGTGGCTGCCAATACTGCCAGTCACCTCTGCAGAAACTCATGATTCTGTAATAGGCAAAACATGAGAGCTAAAAATGAAGGAATCCTTTTTGTCCTGTTTTAATTTTGAGCCAGAGTCTCACTTTGTAGCCCAGGCTTCCCTTGAACTTGTGGTGAGCTTCTAACTTCAGTCTCCCAAGTGCTAGGAGTACAGGTGTGAGCCACCACACAGGTTAAAAATGAAGGGTTTTTACAGTGTCTCATGGTTACAACAGATAGAAGACATTACAGGTATCTACCCGTGTTCTAGTTAGTCTGAGGTTAACTTTCCATTATTGTCTGTATGTTAAGGCGGGTTAGGACAACGCCGGCATTTCTGACCTGAAGGACCACCTTATCATCCCTTGGCACCTGTGCTTTGCTTTCTCAGTCATACCCCGATCTCTCACCACGCTAAAGGCCTCTGACAGGATCCTCCTCTGCACAGATCCTGTTCCACTTGATACTCTGAGCCAAGCACAGCAGGAGCTGTTTGCTGAGAGCGGGGTGAGTCCACAGGGTTAATACCCAGGGTGCTCGCTGCTCAGGCACATGTATGTTTTTGTGGATTTTGTTTCACATGGTTAGGAATTTTAAGGAAATATGCCCTAATTTTACAATACTGATTTTCTCAATCCTAGACATTTCAAAGGGACATCAGGAAAACCTCAGGAAGCAGGAACAGTATAGGCCCTGAGTGGGCCCATCCTTCAGGACAGGAGGGACGAGGACATGGGCATTTCCGGGAGGGTGAGCTGCTGATGCTGTCACTGTTCAGTGAAGCACTTGTGAGTAGGCTCTATGAAGGACTTGGGAATGTGGGTTCGGGAACATCACAGGATGTGACAGAACTGATTCAGAGGCTCTGGGCCAGCGAGGTGCGTGCAAATTGTCTTTGTGGGCTAGGCAAATGTGGAAAGTGTTCATTTTGCCAAAAAGAAAGCTGAGGCTTGCAGGTGGGCTGTGGTCAGGTGTGCATGAGTGACCAGAGGATGTCATGAGTCCACTCATTTAGGACTCTGCAGCAGACTCTGCACCCACTGAGGGAAAGCATCTAGGCAGGGTTGTTAGCGGGACCCTAGGGACAGGGGCACACAGGGACCATCAGGCAGAGTGTGTGGGAGGGACCTGCTCTTAGAGTGGCTGTCTTTTGCTTCATTTCCTTTATTGCTTGTTGCTGTATATGGTGTGACACCCTGGCAGACAGGACCATGAGAGACGGCACAGCAGGCTCAGCCTGATGTGCACACGACACCAGTGAGCTCTAGGTGAGGGTGTGTCTCCTCAGTGGGGGTGGGTGCTGTGCCTGTGGTGGCACACGACACCAGTGAGCTCCAGGTGAGGGTGTGTCTCCTCAGTGGGGGTGGGTGCTGTGCCTGTGGTGGCACAGAACAGTGGCCACATTGCTAAGGGCTCTTTGGTCAGATCATGTACTGTTCCTGTGAGAGTAGACACTGGGACACAAGAGGCCGAGGGACAGTGGGCACAGAGCCCTGCATCACCATGCCCACACACATGGCTTAGAATGGGGAACCTTGCACAGCCCGTCAGAGACAGAACTGAAAACTCTGTCACCGTCTCGTGTACGTCCTGCTGGAGCTCTTACTAAGGCCCCCCTTTGGGGTGGGGATCTTGCTTCCAACCTTGGGTGCTGAGGTGCTTGACTTTGATGCTGCTGGGCCTTTCCCTGCAGTGGAGACAGATGCACAGGACACAGAAACACGTGAGAGGAGGACTCAGGCCTACAGGTAGCTGCAGACCCCACAGTGGTGGTGTGAATGCTGGGAGAACCCACCCTGGACAGAGAAGACAAAGGCCAAAGGCGTGGCAGCTGTGGGGACATGACCAGCCTTGTGTGCTTCCAGGAGGCATTTGTGGGGAGCAGCCACAGCCTGCTAAGCTTGGGTTACTAGGTCAGCTGCACTTGGACAAATACAGGATGCATGTCACACGAGCTGGAGCACCGCATGGGAGCCCTGTATGTGGCTTATCCTCACCTTGCTGTGGGGCTATAGCCTTGTAGAGAACATGTGTCCTGCGCAGGTTCATTGTGCAGCCAGCAGGGCCCATCAGATGAACCTTCCATGCCTGCAACAAAGAGGAGGCACCATGCATTAGTCTGGTAGCTCCAAGAGATCTGGGGTGGTGCCAGATTAGACCTGTGAAAAGGCCTGTTCTAAGAACTGCATCCAGGCAAGAGGCTGCCAGCGCAGGTCTGAGAGGACACATAGGTCAACTAACAGCTCCTTGGCAGCCCAGGAGCCCACAAATGAGAAGCTGGGGAGGCCCAGTCTGCCCAGGCCCCGAGACAGGGAAACTACAAGGTGGTAACTGGGTCTTGTCACACACAGCTAAATGGGACAGCATAGACAGCCATCACAGGGAAAGCAAGGAAGAGCATACAGCTGCAGACAGAGAGGGAGCCAGTCCATGGCAGATGGCAGCATGGCGGGGACAAAGGAGGCAGCTGTTGGCTGGGGCAGTGGTGTTCAACATGGAGACCAGGCCAGCAAAGCCCAGGGAAATGAGGAAAGGCAGTGGGCAGTTGGGAATGGATCGGTAAAGATGGCTACTGAGGTGAAAAGTGAGGGCTCCGGAATGACAAGGAAGCAGTGAAGGCAGAGTTTGCAGGAGAGGATGTCCTCTCAGCACCTGGGCAGGCAGCCTCATGCCTGGATGCAGTTCTTTTTTTTTTTTTTGGGGGGGGGTTTGAGACAGGGTCTCTCTATGTAGCCCTGGCTGTCCTGGAACTCACCCTGTAGACCAGGCTGGCCTCGAACTCAGAAATCCACCTGCCTCTGCCTCCCAAGTGCTGGGATTAAAGGCGTGCGCCACCACTGCCCGGCCCTGGATGCAGTTCTTACAATAGGCTTGAGGAAACCATCTACAGACCCCAAGTCCCAAGCCCTGTGAAATGAAAACAATGCATTCAAGCATGTTTGTGGCAGGCGTTCACACGGACAGCGACACCCCGGGCTCCAGAACGGAGCCTGGCTCTGCTCATTTCCTGCCCTGGGCTCTAACAGAAGGTTGACTCTGGTCACATCTAGGTACCAGATAATGGCAGAAGGGGCTGGACACCAACTCTAGCCTTGTCCAGGCTGTCCTAGGGTGGACATAATAACTTTGTGTCCTTAGGGCTTTTGAGGTTGGTGAGGCCACAGGATTGGGGAAGGGACGTGCTGGGACGCCAGGAAGACAAGTTCAGGAGGGTGCACTGGCTGGGTGTAGACAGGAGACAGCAGTGTGCACTAATGGGGTCACAGGTAAACGTCCCAGCTCTGTCCAGTGTGGCTGACGAGACAGCAGTGGCCTTCCCTGTGCTGAACACTGAGGCCTGCAGAGACTGCCACACTGCTTAGCAAGACAGCTGATTCCTGGTCTGGGTGGAATGTTCCAGACAGGAAGACACTACCTGAGGCTATGAGTCAGCTCCAAAGCTTCAGGAGCCCAGGCGAAGGGCCCCTTGGTGTCCAGAGGCCATCATCCATAAGGGCAGAGCTGGCCGTGGTGCTCTACCTACTCCGATCCATGAATTTAGACGCTAAAAGCAGATAGCCTGGTGAGCAGGCCTGTCATTCTTAAAGCTGCCAGTGTTGTGCAGCGGTTTCCTTCTATCCTGTGTGGACGCTCTATGAGTAGGTAGGAGACAATTCAAAAGGAAGTCCCTGAAACTGATCTGATTCACTAGGCCCCTCCCTCCCAGTGAATCCAAGCCATGGTGCAAAGAAGACTCTGAGACCAGTCCAGCTTCCTGAAAGAAGCAGAAACCAGCCAAGCTGCTTGGAAGAGGTTTCGACTAACCTCTGGAGCTCTCCAGCTTTTTGAGCTGCCTGTAGGTTCTGTGGTGTGCTCTAGGTCCCCAGCTCTGTGATCTGTCACCCATGCTGGAGTGAGCTCAGATGAGTCATTTCTCTTCTATAAGTAACTCTCTACCTACATTCCTTTTGAGTTATGCCAAAACAACTTATGGTTCACCAAGTTGGACTTTGGTGGAACTGTACTGTGGTGGGACCTCTACCTGTGGTAAAAATAGATGCGTGTTGTGTCTTCCCAGGAACAGTCTCGGTCACACAATGCTTGAGATGAAGAAAGGGTGATGGGAAAGAATGTTTGACTCTATAGCCTGTTCTGGAGCAGAGGTCAAGCCAAGGGCTGCCTGGCAGGGAGGGCACTGAAGGGACTTAGAGCCTGGGCATGGCAGCCCTTACCTTTCTCCCCCATTCCCTCTGTCTTGCTAGAAACAATTAGATTAGCAGGGCAGTGGTGACACACACTTTTAATCCCAGCACTCAGGAGGCAGGGGCAGGTGGATTTCTGTGAGTTCCAGGTAGCCTGGTCTACAAAGTGAGTTCCAGGACAGCCAAAGAACCAAAACCAAAACCATCCATTAGATTATGTTCCTAAAGTTAGTAGCCAAATAAGTTTTATCCCCTTATTTGGCCACTTCCTCCTCCTGAGGTTGGCTACCAAGGTCCAGCTATTGAAGCACTGAAGTCTGGCTATCAGCTCTCCCCTTTGTCTCACCTAATTAACATGCCTAATTAAAGTTTAGACACCTCATCCTAACACAGAGCTTTCCCTTTTACATTTGTAAACTGCCATTTGCCCATGGGCCATGGCTGTCTCCCCTCTATCCAGAGATAGTCCTCAGTCCCCCTCCCCTTCCCCCATCAGTCCCCCTCCCCTTCTCCCTTTCCCTCCATCTCCCATTTTTGTCCCTCATCCCTGCTCTCTGTCCCACTGGGACAGACACATCTCTTTGTGCTGAGAGCATGGTCTTGGGAGTCCTGAGCCAACCGAGGTTCCCTGCAGGCACTGCCACATCACACAGCCACCATTGGGAGAGTCTGTCCATCCCTCACCCCTGTTGTCTCAGCTCAGGCCCCCTCACCTCTTCTCCAGGAGCAAAGTTCTCATGACACAGGGGACAGCGGTTTGCCACCTTCTCCGATTTGGCAGCTGAAAGGATTTCAGTAGAAAGGACCTGGTCACTTGGATGAGCCCTCTGCAGGGGAGGAAGGGCGCATCTCCTCCCACCGTGCCCATGCCTGACCGCGACCGCCCGGGAGGACTGGGTGCACTCACGGTTGCACTCCTTAGTTTTGGTGTGTCCAGGAAGCTCCTCCTTGGGGATGGCCTCGCTGCAGCGGGGACACTTCCCAAATCCGTCCCTTTTGTCACACTCTGTCAGCAGGTGTTCTGTCAGGCTGGAAATCTCAACCACCTGGGCCCAAGAGAGAAGGCAGGGTGACTTCCGTGGGGCAGTGCAGGACCCACAAACCAGGGCAGCTCTTCTGGGCCTTTGGTCTTTACCCTCAGGCTGTGCTCCCACTTTGTAGAGACCCCGTGTCCTTCTGTTCACACCACATAATGCCATGTAAAGACCATGGCGGGGGGCGGAGCGTGGGGCGGAGCGTGGGACTGCAGCTGATTGGACTATGCGCTGTAGCTCTGGGTTCAAGTTCTGGCTCCCCAGTATTTCTTACAATCTGCACACAAATAGGATTGTCCCACCTGCCTACCACTCAGTAGGGACACCTTCCACACAGTAGGGACACCTTCCACACAGTAGGGACACCTTCCACTCAGTAGGGACACCTTCCACACAGTAGGGACACCTTCCACACAGTAGGGACACCTTCCACACAGCCTCACATCACACACTGCTGCAGAGGCCAGCGGTCCACTTGGGGCTTTCAGAATCGGTGCTGCCAGGTGAAGGAGTAAGTGTGCACAAGGGAGGTCCACCCTCTCACCCTCTCACACTCTTCCCTGTGTGCACGGGGTCCACCCTCTCACCCTCTCACACTCTTCCCTGTGTGGATGGGGGAGGCCCACCCTCTCACTCTCTCATACTCTTCCCTGTGGCAGAGGAAGCAGAACACTCCCCATCTTGTCTTCCTCCTTGGAAGAGGAAGACCCAGAGCAGGAGAGAAGTAGAGCAGGGCAGGAACGCTAGGAAAGACTGGTAAGGGACAGCGGGACTTAAAGTCTTCCATTCACAAGAGAGCGGGGACAATGAAAAGACGGAGACAGCAGAGGGTGAGGGGAGACAGGTGCACAGCATCGAGTGCACAGATGGCTGTGTCCAGGGGTGGGAGGTGTCAAAGGACACGTGCCTACCAAAGATGGCCACCCCAGGCATGGGCAGCAAGTACGTGCAGCACGGTGGGGACAGAGGCGCTCTCTCTCTCTCTCTGTCTCTCTCTCTCTCTCTCTCTCTCTCTCTGTCTCTCTGTGTGTGTATGTGTCTCTCTCTCTCTCTCTCTCTCTCTCTCTCATTGCTGCGAGCTGTAAGGTAGCCAGGACTCTGAAGGGCTTCTGGGTACTGCCTCAGTAGCAAAAGCCTGTCCAACAGGACCAGGCTAGACGTGCAGCTCAGCGCGGTGCTGTGGTCATGATCACAGCCATTGTAGAGCAGAGATAGCTGTGCTCATCTTGAGCCCATTGTCATGGCAACACAGTTATGCAAGAACAATCCCCCAGCAGCCTGATATGTGGTAGTGGATGGAGCTGCAGTCCTCACCTGAGCTTCCACCTGCCACCCCTGCCCCTGAGCTACATGCCGCCCGAGGAAGCTCCAGAGAAGCATAGGAACTGGAAGGCTAAGTGAAGACGACACTCCACTGGTGCTCAGAGCTGTCTAGGAGAAGCTAAAAACCAGCAGGTCATCTTCCTGAGATGGTTCAGCCATGGACTAAAATCTACAATGGATTTGCTTTTCTAGGTAAGGCCAAGAAGATTAAATTTGAGGAAAGATTTCTGATTAATGTGTTACTATTAAATATATAACAATTGCTAGGTATTAACCCACCCTTTGAGCAGATTTCTATAGAAGATGTATTATCGTGTAGGGATGCTATATAGACAAACAGATAATGATTCTATAGAATTCCTGACTTGATTCAACTAATTTTAGGGAGAAAGTTTTCAGAGATGGTCTTAGCTGCTAGAAATTTATAATAAAGATAGAATGAAGACTAGAGTGTGCCCACTCCTCATAACAGTAAGTAAAGGCTGCATACTAAGAAATGCAATGAGCTTTCATAATCACACTGAAAAGAGAAATAGGATTGGGGCAATTTTGTATTCAAGGAAAAACATTTAGGGCCCAAGATAAAGTCACAGGTGTGCACAATGATAAGGCAAGGCCATGTAAAAGCTGTTGCTTTGAACTTATAATGAGTATATTATAATGAAATATTGCTTTGAACTTAATATCAACGTCCTTCTGTAACTCCCATTTTATGTAACATTTTATCTCTGAGGTAATTTTCTAAAGAACTTTTTGTCTAAGAAAGTATAAAAGATCAGAGACAAGAAAGTAATAAAGTTGTTGAGTTCTGCCCCCCACATCCATCCATCCATCATCCACTCATCCATCATCCATCCATCCATCATCCATGCATCCATGCATCCATGCATCCATCCATCATCCATCCATCATCCATCCATCCATCCATCATCCATCCATCATCCACCCATGCATCCACCCATCCATCATCCATCCATGCATCCATCCATCATCCATCCATCATCCATCCATCCATCATCCATCCATCATCCATCCATGCATCCATCCATCCATCATCCATCCATGCATCCATCCATGCATCCATCCATCCATCATCCATCCAT